AACCATTGATAAGAGAATGAAATGCTGCATCGAATGCTACCAAGATCTCCCAGAAATCTTGTTTTCACGAAATGTAGAGTTCGCTTGAAAAAACCGACATTACTTTCAAAACGACCTAGTATAAATCTACGAGATCAATAAATGCCGTTATTCAAAGATAAACTGCAAAAAAAAAACAAGATGCCACAGATTTGCCTTCAAAACAGGAAGAATATACGTCCCATCTAGGAGCCTCACATGCTTGCTACTATACGGCGCAATCGCTATTTTTTATATCATTCTTCCTAACTTCATGCTAGTCCAGACGTTTGTATAGGTGCAAACTCGCTGCTACTTTGGAGAAACTTATGAATCTTTTGCGGGAAAATTCCAAAAAATGCTGATACAGAAGCTCCTTCCAGCACTGAATTAGTCCCCTTCCGATTACTAATTTGTTATTCATAGAGAGCGTCTATCTTGTTAAGGACGCAATCGTTAGCTCCTCCACATCTGCGTCAAGTGAGACTAAATTTATACGCCAGCCCGCTCAGAAAACATGTCCGGTATTTTATTTATTTTATTTCATTTTTTTATGCATACACTCGCGGTGAAACATTAAACAATCGAAATCGAACAGAATTGAACTTGTTCTATACGTACACCGTTGTGAACAATAGAAAACTAGGAAGCTTATCGAGAGGACACTATCTTTGAAACTATCAGTAGATTACGTATGCGAGAGGATAATTACGATATCGGCATACCATCTAAACATAGTTTGCCTTGAAGAAATCGAAACTGCATGCTCCGTGTTAGGCCTCGGGCAGAGTTCACGCGACTTGATTGTCGCGATTCAATCGCTAAAGACAAGTGTTACGAGTTTATTGCATGCCGATCTTCTTGCATTTCGGTTGTGATAGTTTTCCAACATGACTAGTTGTGAACCACTATCACAACCGAAATATAAGAAGATTGGCATGCAATGAACTCGTAACACTTGTCTTTAGCGATTGAATCGCGACGATCAAATCGCGTGAAATCTGCCCGAGGCCTTACATAAATCAGCAAAAGAACATTGTACACTTGCAAATAATTCATTATTGAGTCGGTTGATGCTGATGCATTTCAGTCAGATTTGGTATGTGCTTGCATGGCTGAGCGTTGCTTCAGTGATGTTTGGTCCAGACTTCGCGAATAAGCGTGATGTACGCTGAAAGCGCAGCCTAGCATGCCATCAACCATACTTCCGATACATAGAGCCATGTACTTTGATAACCTTCATTTTGAGCCACACAAAAGAACACAACCTTACCTGGAAGAAAAAACATCCGAGGCCAAGCGCCGGATGTTATGATCCTTCCGGGGGCGAAGCCCCGGATGTTATGATCCTGACTATATCGGAACGAATTTGAATGAAGCAAATATAGGGAAGAATAACTCCTAGATTATCTTAGCGAAAGCGAGAGTTTGCTTGTTATAGCCTTCTCTACGCAAAAAGAAGGTTTCTGTAAAAATTTCGCCAAAATTCAGGACAACATTCCTCTGTCAACCTCTTATTTGATTAAAATTGAGTTCAGAAGTTTGGCGAAGCTGTTTGAGTCAAACAAAAACGAGAAATTCCGTTCAAATCTTGCGCAGAGAGTCGCGCACGAAAATGCTAGTCTGACTCGTTAATGAGTGATTTTCAACGCTTGGGACGTTGTCATTTCTCCTCGTCGTTTCAGGACGATCAGAATGATATATAATATTGCAGGGTTTCGTTGAGACCCCGCGGAGATCTATGACCAGAGGCAAATGCCCCGTCGGTCTGGTCTGTCTCCGCTGCTCGTTTGCGTTTCCGCGCGCTGCGTGCTATTAGGTCGTGTAATAAGTCCTGTCCCATTTTTTGTTTTAGTTTTTTCTTGCCAATGTTGACTATATTTGAGATAAAGTGTATATGCCTTGAAAGCTCTAGGTTTGCTCTACAGGCTCATATGCATCACTCCCTAACATAGCAGAAAATTGAAAAAGATTTCTATCATTGAAATAAAAAATCCAAACAGCCGAAAAATCAATTTTCGACATCTTTTTTCCTTCAAATTTTTCTCGATTTTTATTGGTAAAACTTATGAAACAAGCTTGACAACAACCAGAACAATCTATTAAACTTTTACACTTAGTCTATCATTGTTTGCCCTGTTCGCTTCCTTCCACCGGCTAATTAATGACATTTTTTTAGAAGCCGGCAAGGCAAGACTTTGTCATGGCGATTTTCGCCGTCTCGCGTACCCAAGCTGTGTGACCTCCCAAAATTCAAATTTTGAGTATTTAACCTATCAATTCGATAATTTGAAGCCACAAACCATCCCTTCTGACTTTTCTGGATGACCCGCCTACCGTCTTCCCTTAGGATGCCTTCAGATGACGCCCAACACCCGTTGAAAAGGCATCAGAAAGAAGAATCTTCTAAATTCTACAGAAACGATTTTTGAAAAGTTTCAGCACTCCTGAAGCGCAATAGAAGCTAGAGCATTCTTTGCTTACGTGTAGCAAATTCTTCGAGCTTATTCGTAGGCATTCTGACTAATTAGGAAGGCGACGTAACGTAGCTGTCGAAAATGGACTTTTTCCCTGTTTGATTTTCCAAATTTGACGCTGTAAAACTTTTTCAAGTCATCTGATGAAGAAAACCGAAATGAAGTTTTCAATAGAGAAGGCTTAGAGCTTTTGAATGCATATAAACAATTTACAGAACATCGCGCGAAATATTGAGAAAAATTGAAAGAAAAAATGGGACAGAACTTATTACACAACCTAATACCTCGCTGCCTCAAACGCGGGGCGCGGAGCATTTGGCTCTGGTGCCCTTTTCTCTGATGTTTCGAACCCAATTTTAGCAAGCTATATATCATTTTGAAGCTCTTGATCTCTACTTACACGCCGACAACGTCCCAAAATCACTCTTTTTGATTTGATTGAGAAATCCGGCAAAAACCTTGTTTTCGAAAATGTCTTGTATTTCCTCAAGCTCTTTTCACGCGGTTTTTTCGTGCATTGTATGGATCTTGCTTCTGTTCATAATGCAGACATCTATCCAGGGATTATCTCTTCGATTATGGAGGAATCTTTTGTGAAAAATTGTAAAAAGTGCATTTTTTACCTTGTTCTGTTTCAGTGCTTTTGCAGCGATTTTTTTCCAGCATGGGCGATTGTTGCTCAGAACAATAACCGTAACAATCCAGACAACGTCCCAGGAAACGTCAATGCGGGGTTAAAAAATCAAAGGACGCATCAAAAACTAGATTTGGCTTTGACGTGCATTTCGACTTAGTAAGAAACATTTTGCGTTTTCATGACTAGTTTCTTTCTTGTTTAACTTCTTCTTGATGACGATCACATCGGAAACATAGTGCTTTTTGAAACAATTACAAAAAAATTAGCTTTCCTCGTTTTCCCCGTTTTGCGAATTGCTGGTCTTGCAGCGAAAATCTGCATTTTGAAAAGCCGCCAAATAAAAGACTTCAGACTCATCGCAGCGTTTTTATCCGGTTCTTTGGCAGTTTCTTTCGCTTTTGATAACTGTTTAGCGTCTTTTTCTTCTTTTCTGATCTCCTATAAAGAACCTTCACTTTTTATAGGGGCGGATGTTCAATCTGTCTTACCCACAGCAATGCGCTGACTTCAATGGTCAAAAAAATTCGTCTTTTGGTGGGCTTAAAGGCAGCGTACACCCAAAATTCCACCTTCTATGTTTTTGTCATTCTGGGGCCTTTCCGTGCCGCTGATTACAGTTATGTCATTGAAATCCTCCAAAAGTCCCAAAAAACCCCGATTTCTGGGGACCCTCTCTTCAGGGACGGACGAGTTTCGAACTGCTCGTCTCCGTCGGCATGCCAGCAGCTGCAACAGCATGACAGCGTGCAGTTGCAACTGCAACTGCTGCATATGCTGTCGTGGTTCGTCGCCCAAAGGGGGCGCACGCAAAAAGCAACTGCACTGTTGCAACTGCAGTTGCAGATGCAGCAGGATTGCAACAGCAACTGCAACGGCAACTGAAGCTTACGCTGTCGGGATTCGTCCGGAGGAGGCGGAGCGAAAGAAAAGGGGCGTAGTGAAAGAAAATTGAGGGGGGTTTTCTCCGCTCAGAAGCAACATTGGGAGACCGGACCAACGCAGTTGGTCTTCTTCTGGGCCCAGTATATACATGGTATAGAAAGATCTAGGAAATTCGGTAACTTAGATTTTGGGTGTACGCTGCCTTTAAAGGCAGCGTCCCACCAGACTGGGGGTACCTGGCTCTCGTAATTATGTAATAGTAGACCACCTACCTAAGCGATGACTGAAGTTCGGAGCGAAAAAGGGGGTCTACCAAGCCTGAAATTTGCTCCGAAAGTGAGCCGAATCTTACTTTAGGCTCGGGCGAGTGCGAGGTGCATGCAAGGTAGAGACGCAGAGTCGTTGCGGGTCCCGGCGCTCATGATGTGTGCGCTATACGCACTCTGGCTCTGCAAATCGATATTGCCTTGCGGGCGGCGTCCGACCTTACCGTAATTCGGCCCATTTTCGGAGCAAATTTCAGGCTTGGTAGACTCCCTTTTTCGCTCCAAACTTCAGTCATCGCTTAGGTAGGGGGTCTACTATCACATCATTACGAGAGCCAGATACCCCCAGTCTGGTGGGACACTGCCTTTAAGAAGATCACAAAAAATTAGATCTACCTTAACTTCAGTCTTGATACATAAAAACATATTCAAAAAATGAAATTATTTTACACATGTATCTTCCAGATCATCGCACTTTTTTGAGTTTATGTGACGATCAGGGCTTTAGCATCAAAAGTCCATGGCTAATGTATACGCAGTGAGTATAAAAAGCTTGCATCTGCTTGTTAATGAGATAGACTTCCTACGGTCCAAATGAATGCATGGCAATCCCTGAGAGGCCACAGTACATTGAATAAACTATTGTGTTGAACTAAACTCTGATCCATTTTAGCCACAACATCTTAGTACTAGAACGATAAGTAACTCCAAGATTTTCAGATACTACTATGGGCATTGATTGCTACAAATATTGGCCATTCATTTTTGTTAGCTGTTCTGCAGGTAAAAGATTTACTACAAGAAAGTGAGTAATGAACTTATTTAGGGCTCTCATCTGTTCAAAATCTACACTGCAACAAACCCCTGTGATGTGTTAGTGCCTGGCATTTTCTGCTATTCTCTGCGCATGCCGCTCTCAGCCTGCTTTTTAGCACATACAACTATTCATCTGTCTATTGTAATTGAGAGGACAGTGGCTTTCAGAAATCTCAGCACTTATGAGAACAGAAAATCATGGCTCGGAACGGCGCTGCTTGCCTTATCGGTATCGCTTCCACTTCCATTACAGATTATATTGAGTGAGGTCTCAAAAGGTAGTTCGTAAAGAAATCTTGCTCAGAAGATTCATGTCGCGGAACGATTTCTAAGGGATTGAAACGATAAACGTCAATTTCATGCAAATTAGAACTATGGCGAAGCACCTTAGCCTCATGCCGGGAGCACACTGAAAATTCTATGGATACGCTAACGACTCTCGGATGACACTCTTCAAGACGGGTGGAGGACAACAGATTGGCTAGGATTAGGCTCCACCCATGCGGACAGACAGCATGAGGCAGTAATGGTAATAGCGTGCGGTTTGTTGCAACTCTCCGCGTGGGACAGCCCCTTTCGGCGACGTAATGTCATATACCCACCTTAGCCTCATGCGTACCATGAACACACTGAGAATTTTGCGGATACGCTAGCGAATCTCGGATGGCATTCTTCAAGATTATATAGTAGACGCCATCCGTCTAGGTCACCTCAGTGCGATGTGTGCTACTGCACACAATTTTGAAATCTCGGATGAGGTGCTGGACTCCCGCCGTGCCGTACTTGCACCAAGTGCGCATACGGCTAAAATTCGACGCCAAACTGCCCGTTTTTTTTATTTTGATGTTTTTTTAGCTGCATGCACGGTCTGGTCTTCAATGATTTGTTACCTTTACACTCGTGCACTACCGTTTCAAATTGGATATCTCAAAATTTATCACTTCTGCTTTCAGGTAAGGGAGGCACATGGGCAATCTTGCAGGACTGTAAAGTAAGTGTGCTTTTCAGTATTGTCGTATGTAGAAAGAATAGAGTGTCTCTTCGACAATACGAGTTTCAACTTCTTTTTGATTGTTGTAATCTTGGTTTTTTTGTGCCGACTTTCAATGGGAAGCTGTTTTCAAAACAGGATTGCTTCCAGCAGAAATGTTGCTGTTAATGCGATGTTGTATTGTTGTGAATTCCTTGGATCTTATTCAGCATTGCAAAGCACACTTACTTCAAATCCTGCACAATTGCTTATGTGCCTCCCTTACCTGAAAGCAGAATTGATCAATGTTGAGATATCCGATCTAAAACGGCAATGCACGAGTTTAAAGGTAACAAATCATTGAAAACTAGACCGTGCATGCAGCCAAGAACAAAAAAAGCATCAAAATAAAAAAACGGGCAGTTTGGCGTCGAATAGCCATATGCGCACTCTGTGTAAGCACGGCACGGCACGACGGGAGCCCAGCACCTCATCCGGGATTCCAAAATTGTGTGCACTAGCACACATCGCTCCGAGGTGACTAGACGGATGTCTTCTACTATACAACGAATAGCTTTGCGTAGAACGCGCTGCTGTACGAAGACGGTGTACAACTCCTACGAGGTAAAGGACTATTCACATGATTAATGAAATTGGGGCGCATAAGTGAGACGAGTGTGCTTTCCGTCAGATTTGGTAAGTTTGAAGCGGTTCGGGTCCGCGATTGCCTCGTATAGGCTGCGCCGCTTTTCGCTTAGTTTATGATTGGAGCTTGCCCCGACTTCTTTCCCGCGCATGAGCGTCCAGGTGAGGCGCCTCACGGAACGAATGCTCGAGTCGCGCTCACTTCAAATGAAATAAAGGGCATACCGCACCGAATCCGCAACTATCTTATCATAAGTCGAACATATTTTGCAGCATGATAAACTCAAGAATAGTCCCTCATAACTTTTTCCAACACTATCAAGACACTAAATGTGGTGAGCATGTCATTTTCAGGTTGCTGCAGCATTTGCGATGGTAGTTTACGCTCTTTGGAATTATGATTTTGCCACACAACAAGTCTATTGTGCTGGGGTAAAGAAAGAAACAGCTTTTGAAACTGCTGCAATGAGCTACCTCAATGTGGCTATAGAGGCTTTCACTGTAGTAATGCTTTATTTTGTCTATCGCTCCAACAAGAAGAGGTAATTTTGAGGGTGTTGCAACATATTTTGCATGAAGGTACACTTTTACAGCGATGTGTACGACATTCAGTCCAGATATCAATCGAGGGAAAACTTGGCAGTTCTTCGCCTCCTTATGCCGGCAGTAATATCTCATTTTGTTGTATACTCTACTTCAATGCTTTGCATAGCAGCATCCTCTCTTCTTCGAAAGGTGATCACGGATAGAACAGCAATGCGTACATTCGTGGCAGGCACATACGTGAGTATTCGTCACTAAATTGTGCAAGAACGGCAGATTATTTTGAAGTTGGCACTTCAGCAGAAAATTGCAAGAAGCATACACTTACTTTTAGATTCTCCCCATCTACACAGCCTTCTCTCCTCTCTTGCTGTGGTGGATTTTGAAGCACCATCGACGGACCAGGAGACTTGATCTGATTAGAATGTCGAAAAAAGTTCCAAACGAGGAATACATCTATTTTTCCAATTACGAGTGGAATAGAGAACAAATTCGATGAAGCGTTTTTGAGCACCGTTTCTAGCAATGGATTACTTACTTATTTCAATACTCATAGCTGGGTGGAGGAACGAACGCCTCAATTTGGCACCGCCTCCGCGGACTACTGGTCCCAACACGATGTACAACAGTAAGACGAAAGGACCAGCAGCTCGCAGAAGCGGCGCCTAATTGAGGCGTTCGTACCTCTACCCCTCATAGCTCAAAAGCGACTCTTCGAAGCGATATGATTCTTTCCTTTGATCTGCAGTTATCCTTAGCATTAGACTGTCAACATCTACACTTTGAGAAGGTAAAAATACAGAAATCTTGCGAAGGCCCTTATAAAGATCCCTGTTTTGACAACTCAAAAGTGCCACCTACCATTCACAGAAAAAGCTCGTCCTTACTTGATTTTCCCACCTCCCCGACGAACGACGACGCCTCTATTGTTACTAAGATGTAGTACTATTAATGTATGGGGGGGGGAGGAGAGAAAGGTTTGTATGAATGAAGGCACTTACCGATGAAAACAGTGTGCGTAACATATGTCAATATACCCTCCTCCTCAAAGGGTGATCTTGTATTCTTCGTATCCGGAAAAATGTCGTCAGCAGCGCATACAACGAACTTACATTATAACCAGCCGAATTCGCCCCTGGTGATAGAACCTAAAGTCCCCAGTCGAATAGTTGAACGAGTAAAGAGAATTGGGTATCGTTTGCTAATAGTGCTCGGGCTGATAGTGCACGCTCAAGAACGTAACCCGTGAGCGGCGTAAGGGCGTATCCTGCCATCATTGTGACGCGTTGACCTACACAATTTCAAATGGGACAACTGGAGCCTTTCGCGATTATGGATCATCATTACAATCATAGGTGCGATAGGGGGAGCCGGGCTCTCCCCAGGTGACCCAGGTGAAGGGGGTCTCGGATGTTCCCGACCTTCCAGGGTGAAGGGGGTATGTGAGTCTGGGGGGGGGGGGGAGGGGAGGAAGAGAGAAAAGGTAAAAAAGCGTGGTATGAAGAGCTCTAATTTGTACCTTATTTAGGCACAAATTGAAGAAAAATTCAAAAAATTTCAAAAGAAATTAAAAAATTTAAAAAAATTGATTATGAAGACCTGTGCTCCTGTTTCACTGCATCAACAAAAAACGAAAGCAATAAGGTTTATCCCAAAAGATGTACAAGTGAGGAACAACTTCATTTCCTGCACATCATCATCAACAACATCACTATCGCTAACGTCAGAGACAACAAGTTCGCTGCCTGAAAAATCTTCTTCTTCCTCCGAAAGGTCATCGAAGTAGAAGTAGAATTGCGTGCTAAAGCGTTCTGAGTCGAAATTGGATTTGAAACTTTGTTCTTCTTTTAAGCGCTTTTGTGATTTTTTTCTTGGCCCTCTGGTAGCACCACGAAGTCAGCAGGTAGGTGACCAGTTTCTTCATACCATTTTTTAGGATATTTCAAAAAGTCGTACGGTAACAGCCTGTCTGGACCACTTATACCAATCCTTTGAATGAAGTTTTAAGATAACAATGTGTTTAGTAGAAGATTGACGAATCTTAAGTATTTGCTCAGATGCTCTATCGTTGTACGACTTCTGCGTTGTGTTCTGATAACAGAGTAGATAAAAAATTTCTTTCTCCACCTCTGCCGTGCGAAATGGAAATTAGCTTTGCTAGTAAGTCCATCAGATTTTTGCGGTAAGTAATGGGAAAAGAGCCAGATCGCATATGCTTTCGCAACGCGGGAAGGAAATAGTGCATACTTTTTTGGGCCTTGTCGAACTCTGGCTTCAACTCCTCTGGCATACGTCCTGTTAGTTGATTAGAAAGCTGTTCAACTTCTTTTTAACAGCATCTGCGGAATAGCCGAAAAAAGGAGGTACTATGTTGCGCGTTGGTTTTTTTTTTCAGTATCTTAGGTCATAATGTCACAAGGCGAATAACTTTCAAAAGCATAAAGCACAGAGTTAGGTTCGCACTCCAGCCGGGATCTAAGTGCAGTAACTATGCTTTGTACTAACACCTTCCTTTTGTTCATATCCATGTTTGTGAATTTAGCAGCCTTGAAATCTTCAGTAACCTGAAGGTCAGCAGTGGACTTCCTGGACATTTCCTCATTGAAACTAGGCAATCTGCTTGGATTTCTGATGTACGAAATAGATAGTTTCGCTCAAAGGTCAACTCTGTATCGATGTCGACAACATATTCGTCGGCGTAAGATTCTCCTTCTGCCTCGCTGTTGAACTGGAACACATGCGAGTTATCTGCGACTTTGTAAAGTATTCTGCCTGCCGTTTCCTTTTCAAACTGCCAACATTTCCAAAACGTTGAGGGAAATTTTAATAACATGTTATTCTTCTGAATGTCTTAGAGTTTTTGATTTATTGAAACCAACCATTCTCTACAATTAGGTGAGTCTAGGCGTTTTCACGAAAGTTATCTTCTTCAGCACTAGGTTTACAGAGTATGGATTCCAGAAATGGGCGGGTTTTTGTCTGAAGGTCTGGAAATTCACCAATCTCCCATAGTTTTTTGAGTGTGTGCTAATAATGATGGTATAGCTGTCAATCAAAAACGCAATTTTTACCAAAAAACATAAACATATAACAACGATAAGCACGCTCAAATAGACGCGTTCGCTCACGTTCCCGTTAGTGCTGATAACGATGTCAATCCACAGCCCTTTTTTTACTATTAATTTGCTCCACCTCGCTCTTATTAGGTCGTCCAGAAAGTTTTTGGGCATAAATTTCATCATAACTTCTGATTTTTCCAACCGATTTGACTGCTTTCACTTTTATGTGAAAGGGTAAGTCATGCTTTTTATAATGACACCTCAGCTGCTTAGTAATGGTCATCTGTTGCATAGATAGAAGTGATAGAAAAAAATGATAAAAATTTTAATTTTCTGTGTAGGGTCATAAAAAATCGGAGACTTGCAACAAGAATCGGAGCAGTCACTACTGTAGGTTCTTTCACCAGCTCTTTCTAACAGTGCAAAGTTTGCGCTGTCCATAGAAAGTTATGATTTCCCTGAAAAATGCCAAAATAAATCAAATTCGCCTTTTTGTATTGCTCGCTCGGAAATCATAACTTTTCATGGAGACGCTCAATCGAAGAAAACTTTGCACTGTTAGAAAAAGCTGGCGAAAGAACCTACAATACCGACTGCTCCGATTTTTGTTGCAACTTTCTGATCTTTTATGCTACACAAAAATTCAAATTTTGAGTGATTTTGGTTTTGAGCTTCTATCTATGCAACAGATGACCATTACTGAGCAGCTGAGATGTCATTATAAAGAGCATGACTTACCCTTTCACATAAAAGTAAAAGCAGTCAAATCGGTTGGAAAAATCAAAAGTTATGAATTTTTGAAAATCGTGCGCAAAAACTTTCGGGACGACCTATACAATGTGTTGGCTTTCATGGGTCACCGAAGCAAATGATTTTTAGAGCCGGGAAGCAAAGAAGCCCTAACATGCTGTATACCATTCGAAAGCTGAGATCATGGAGAATCGACTTAGACCGTCGACTTTTTTCTAGGTCTTCTGTGCCGCGAGATATGAGGGATTTTATGTGCTTCAAAAATTAACTGATTTTGTGTCCTCACTTTCTGCTGTCCAAATGAATGCTACGAGAAAGTCGATGGTCTACGTTTGTTAATGAAGACTTGCTCTTTAACATAGATAGATAATCAGCAGTGATTAGGTCTTCATTTGGCAGAAATCTGCTGTTGAAAATGACCATGTTTTCAGATAAAATGCGGTGTATCTCTTAGAGGGGGGCTAGAAAGAAGTCGACGGTCTAGGTTGAATCCCCTTTTCTTGAGCTTTCGAATGGTATATAGGTTGCTGGGCGAAAGAACTAACCAGTTTTCAAAAATGGGGTGGAGTTATTTACTATTAGCTTGCTCCAACCCAGCTCCACCAATGTATTGGCTTTTATGGGCCACCGGAGCAAATGATTTTTAGAGCCGGGAAGCGAAAAAGCCCTAACATGCTGTATACCATTCGAAAGCTGAGATCATGGAGAATCGACGTAGACTGTCGACTTTTTTCTAGGTCTTCTGTGCCGCGAGATTGAGGGATTTTATGTGCTTCAAAAATTAACTGATTTTGTGTCCTCACTTTCTGCTCTCCAAAATGCTACGAGGATAAATAAATAATATAAATAAACATAAAGACCGTTTCTTTTGTAAATTTATGAGTGTACTTGTTGCTTGAGGTACTTAGCCTGCAAAACCTTTTAATAACAATTTTTATCATATTCTCAGTGTACAATACGAATCTCAGCCCAGGTGAAGGGGGTCATCGGGAGTTTGGCCTCAAAGTGAAGGGGGTAAGATCCATCACTCCCCCTATCGCATCTATGATTACAATGCCTGCAGAGGCCATGAAATCCATTATTCCATTTTCGCTTTACAGAGCTTCTAGCAACTCTTCTTTCTTGCAAAGTGACAGTCCCAAATATGTAAGGGTTTTCTCCATCAATTTTAACCTTTAAAGCTCAAAGGCAGTTCCGGGCAGACCTGGGAGCACCTCACTCCAACGTATAGCCGAAGAGGGCTCCCCATGCAAGCTTTACTACGACTGTTAGTGCAAAATAGAGCTAGAAAGCAGCTTCAGAAGTGTAGACAGACCCTCTCCTCGATGTGGCGTCATTACGAAGCAGGAAATTGCGCCAGGACACAATCGCTGCGACGCTGTCATCGGCTGCAGCGGCGTATCCTGCTACGATTTCCTGCTTCGGTGATGACGTCACTAAATAGAAGGGCGGGCCCGTTTACATTTTTGAAGCTGTTTTTTTCGCTCTAGAAGCATTTTTTGCATTCGCAGTTGGGATTTAGTCTGCATGGAAAACCTTCTTGACAATGCGTTAAAATTAGGTGCTCCCAGTTCTGCCCGGATACTTCCTTCAAGCTTTCTCCAATAAATAAGTGGCGAATTTCATTTGACTATTATCAAACATGAAGAGTATCGTTGCGCAAATCTTTCGGTGCTGCTGGGGTTTCCGA